GCGAACGGCTGCCTTCTGCTTCCAGAAGTCCTCCTCCATAAGGAGTCGGAGCTGGTACTCGGCGTGGCAGCGGTGCATGGCAGTCCTATTCTCCGGAGTGGGGTCCAGGTCATAGGCCCGCTTAGCCGTCGCGTGCGCACTCTGAGCCGCAGCAAGGCGGTGACGAAGGTTTCCAAAAACATTCCAGTTCCACTGTCTCAACTGACGCTGCAGTCTGCCGAGCTTCGCCTTGAGATTGCGCATCCCGAAGAGCCCAGTCCGCTAAAGCCAGGAATCCCTGACAGTGTTGTGGAAGGAGTGGTGGCGAACCCACATGTTCTGGAACCTAAATGAGGAGCGGCGGGGGGTGCTCGAAAATCGGCACCGGATGAGAAGGGGTGAATGGTCAGACCCAAATCGAGTAAGGTGTGTGACAGTCGTAACCGCAAACACCTTCGCCCACGCCTCAGAAACCAAGGCACGGTCTAACCTCTCTTTGAGTTCGTCCTGTTAGAGTAGAATACCCAACGTTCCAATCAGATTGGATACATTCTACTTGTAAATACAATTTATTGGAATTTATATTAAATAAAAGGCATTACTTTATCTTATGTATATTTGAACATATGATAAAGTCCCTAGATCATTAAAAACTATAAGGTATGGTTACGCATTGGATGGTAATCATGGAAGATGCTTTGAAAGTTTTGATCTTAAAATAAAGTTCCAAGTCGATGGATATTTCGAGATGGGATATTGAATAACCCGGTAAGACTTGCACATATGATGTATACTTGTTGGACAAGAATGTTGCATTCCATCAATATTAGCGTTGGACGCAAATACATATATGTGGGTGCTTGTTAGGAAACAAGTTCACTGAGCATGACCGTATGAAAATTCTTAAATGGAACTTTTTACTGTCGAATAAGAATTTTCATGTTACAATAGTACATGATTGATCCTCTGACTTGAGGCACGATAGTAATCTTATGCATATTGTGCTTTACTTTGATTTATCTTTTGATTGCTAGACAATCACAAAAGGGATATTTTGGGTACTGTATTAATATGTATGGAGGTTTATCTGTGGCCAACAAAGAATTCAACACTTATAAGGATAAGTGAATTTCCTATGTTTTTCATAGTTTGTGATTCAAAGACCTTGGCCAAGGCAGGATGAATAGAGATTCATACACGAATTACTACTTGAAATGGAATCATAGTTGTTAAATCAAATGGGTTTTGACTAAAAGCCATACCCAAGATTTAATCGGGAAATTAGTTGTCGAAAGGATTTTACATGTATGGACTTGTAATCGAAAAGGTTTACTCGCTATTCACTTAATACTAGATTCATGCTACTTGCTAGATGTTCCCATGATATGTGGGTTTTTGAAATTAAGGAGGTAATTTCATGAATAAGAATTAATTAGATTAATTCAAATTACAAAGAGTTGTAAACTCACTACTAGTATTAAAAGTGAACCTAAAAGGTCACACCAATTTTTGAATGAAGGCAAAATGAAATTAGTATTTCTAAAGAGTTAGAATTAATTGACAAATCTAATTTTGATTAGATGTCAATTAAAGGAATATACTAAATTAATCAATTAGATTGATTAATTTTATTTTGGATATTAATTAAGTAATTAATGTAATTACTAAATTAATAGTTGGATTTTAAAGTTCAATTTCAAATAATAATATGATTATTAAATGAGGAGATTTTATATGGGAGAAAATATATATACAAATAATTTTGAAAGAGTTTAAAATTATTTGTTTATTATTATTATTAATTTTTAATTGAGATTAAAGATTAAATAATAATAATAATAATATAATGGATGGGATGGGATCCTACATCATATTATATTATATTCTTGTATTAACTTGTAAAAGTAATACAAGACTTTTTAAGATAACTTGTAAAAGTGATACAAGACTTTTTGACATTTCTTGTGAAAATTATTTAAGACATAAATATTTTAAGTTGAATATGTTTACATTTCTTGTGAAAGTTATTCAAGACATCATTATTTTATACCTAAATTTTTAGTATAAATATGGACATACTTAATGTTCATAATTGCTAAGTTTGTGAGAAAAATTTAAGTCTTGAAAAATTTAAGAAAGTTAAGAAAATTATAATCTCTCTAAAACAAGAATAGTTCTTGTAAAACTCCTCATAAAATATATTTCTATACTTATTAAAAAACCGAGTAATTTCTACTAGCGAAGAAATTATCTTTCGGAGTCGGGTTTCAAAAGGTGGATACTATTAGAGGGAAGACGATTGGATTCCTAAAGTGAGTAACAAGAAGATCGTTACTAAACCGGGAATTGATTTCCTCTATCATCGTCAATTTGAAGGAGTTCAAGTTGAGGTAATTTCGAAACTATCTTCAAATCAAAATTTATATTTATACATGTTTTAAATGATGACGATCTGTTTATTCGCTTTATGTATTTACGGGTTAAGTATTTATATGATAAATACTTGTTTTTTAAAATATTTTTTTCACTGCAAAGACCCGTACGGTACAAGCGAACCCAACACGTCCCTCACCCACGTGAAGGGCTCACCATCACATCCAATGTCAATTAACTCGCAGTCCGCCACCGCCTGAGCAAAATCCCACATCTCCCGTGACCGGTCCGTACGGCCACCCACACGCTCATCGGGATGCAGAAAGATGTTGAAATCGCCACTAACCATCCATGGCAATCCCTCCATACTCTCGGCAATCTCACGCAGGGTGTCCCAAAGGTCATATCGCCCGACCCTAGTACACTTGGCATAAACCAAGGTGTGAAAGACGGGCTCTGGGAGGTGGGCAGCAGAAAGCTCAACGTGAAGCACCTGATCGGTGTCACGGAGGACCTGACAAGTGTAGTCACGCAAGTGGAAGAACCAGATCTTATGCGAAATATTACCCACGCCCGAGTGGAAGCCAAGACGACGCGAGTAGTAGTCAAAAGAAGGTGTGCGAATCATCGGCTCAATAAAGCCAACAAAATCGACTCTGTGATCATGAATGAGAGAGTGAAGGTGAGAGAGAGTAGCCCTATTCGCCAGGCCACGGCCATTCCAAGTAATGGATGTGATGGACATATCAACGGTCGCAAGAGCCATCGGACGGAGTCCGCCTATGGCGAGGCTGAGTCGGGCCACCTAAAGAAGGCATGCGGCGGAAGGATCCAATAGCAGGGGAGATCGTCCGGCATGTCGTGCGCTGCGTGCCTCTGGTCCACGTGGGCTGTCTGTCTCGGTATGTGCTCGTGGCCTGTGAGTCGTCAGGCTGGCCAGACTGATCTATAGCAGCACTAACGGGTTGCCCCATCTCCGGGGCAGTCTCCTGTCTGTCGTAGTGAACGAAGGCACTAGAGGTGAAGCTCTCGCATGAGACGTCATGCTGAGCGCGGTTAAGCCCGCATACCTGCTCGGGTATGGGTGAAAGAGAGGAACCAGCGGTCGGAGCACTCGGGTGCTCGCCGCCAGGAGGAGGCTGGGAGCTGGCTATATGCTCAGCCGAGCTCCCAATCTCAGCAGGGAGGAGATGGGCCGACTCATCCCCTTTCGGGGTAGCGGTGACGACAGTAGCCCTCACATCCGAAGATCCGATCGGGCTAGATACGCGCACAGTCAAAGGACCGGCATCGCGCGCACTGTCATCGGATAGGTGGATGGACTCTCCCCTGGGCGTGGTGTCCGGCTGGTCCATATCGTTTCCGAGGAGGTCGTCGTCATCCAGAAGCGTAAGATCGGTAATCTTAGGTGGTCCGCTGGAAGAAGGCATAGCCTCCTTCTCTGCCTCTGGAGAGAGAATAGCAAAATACGAGTGATTGGCCTTGAAGGCCGACTGTAAGGTCTGTCTGGGGAGAAAGCCCGTGGACTTGGGCTTGGGCCCTACTAAGTTTGGGCAGTATCGACAATCACAGCCTTGCCCTTATCCTTAGACCCCTTCGGGGTCTCGGGCACGCGGAGAGGGCTTTTGCCCTTTCCCTTCGGATCCCTCTGGCTGGTGGAGGGTCCCTGCTGGGTCGCGCGGTGGCGCTGCGGGAGAATGGGTCGTGGCTAGGTTAGTTGTATTTTGTTGCTAGGTTATTTCTTTCTTGCTGCTAGATTAGTTTTCTTATGCTGCTAGATTAGTTGTATTTTATTGCTGCTAGGTTAGTTGTTTGATGCTACTAGGTTAGTTGTCTTTTGTTGCTTTGTTTTTTTTTTGTAAAAAATTGCAACCCATAGGATTTGAACCTGGTACCTCATGGAAGCAAGACAAGCAATGCAACCACTACACCACTCAAGGTTGAGTGTTTTTTGTTGCTAGGTTATTTATTTCAATGCAACGGGTCAACGCCGGAAGTCAACGGTCAACGCCAGAAGTCAACGACTTTCACCGGAAGACAACGCTGGAGTCAACGGTCAACGCCGGAGTCAACTAATAATTATTTTATTATTTAATTAATGTATATTTTAATTGATTTTGATCTAGACAAAATGAGTGGCTAAGATTCAGTCTCACGTACTCATTTTAAGGAATGGTCTCATTGGATCCGTCCCCTATATATATATATATTTTATAAAAAAAGTAATAATGATAAAAAAGATATAGTAATTGGTTCAAAACAATAGCTTAATAATGAAATCATATTTGATACGAGTCACTTCTAATTAAAAGGATTGAAGGTTTCCCAACCCACAGAACTAGAAGTTGTGGTCATTCATGTTTGGTAAAAATGGGACTATAGAGCTAGTGACAAAATGATATATGGATCGAAATAATGAGTCAACACATTTGTACTTGCAATTTTCATTACATAGATCATAAGATCAACAAAATCAAACTTGCAACAGCCAAATTAATCGTGACTGGATAATAAAAAAGTACATAATAATTTTATAAATGTTTGAGAAACAATGATGGATCAAAGTTGGTTCTTACAACCTTCTTTCTTTCTTTCTTTCTTTCTTTCTTTCTTTCTTTATGGAGATAGATATATAGATGATATGGTACTCAAAAGGGTTTAGAGGGAAGGGTTTGGTTGTTGAGAAAATGTTGGAAGAGCTGAAGGGCTTCTCTTGGCTTGAAAGTAGGAACTTGATGCCCAGCTCCCCTTACACTCACAAACGTTAAACCATCATACTTAACTGTCCATCCACCCACATGCATAAGTAATAATATCATCATATCAAGTTTATGCTAATTAATTTCTAAAGCATGTAATTAATTAATTAATTTTCTATATGAGTAATGTATATATACCTGTTGGTTGTTAGTATACCATGCAGTCCAATCATGTTTCACCCGCAAACCCAACTTTCTTAAACTGTACCTCGTCGCTGTAACTGGTACTCTACCATCTGTATCTCCGCTATACATTCATTCATCTCATTTTTATTAATTACTTTCAAACATCACAATACAATTAACAACTAATTTTAAACTATATATATACATATATTGATTATTTTCTAAGTACCTGTAAACCCAAATGCGTAGCCCCGCAGCAATAAGTTGTCTCAGAATAGGGAGTATGGAGAAAGGAGCGTCTTTCCACTTCTCAATGGCATCGCTGATATATAAAATATCATGGACCAACACTAACTAATTAATTAACCTTACTCAAATTCGTACAAATAAAATTATTATTAGTTACCTCATACCTGCAACTTGTCCAGGGATAACGAAGTCCAGTGACATTAGCATGAAGAGCACGTTGGACATCCGCTCGGTTAAAATAAACATTAGTATACGAATAGGCACAAGGGTCGTACCCAGATAACGGCTTCCTTCTTCCATACTAGCCAATTATTCAATTATCATAAATACACAAAAAAAAAGAAGTTAAATGGTAATAATATTGGACAACAATTAATGATCAAATAACAAAAAACCATCACCAACTAACAATATTTTTAGTTAAAAATCTGGAAACACCAGAGGGTTTGGAAATGGTGGTACCAATGTTATCATCAACACAAACAGGGGCATACAAACTGTACATATCTATGATGTCATACACATCAAAGTACTTATCTAATCCATGATTGCATTCCTTAGTCAACTTTAAGCTACTGAAATCACATTCTTTCTTAATCTCATCATACACTGCATCTGATATAACCGCATGGTCCCACGCATACTCTATCATTCCTTTTTGGTCTGTTTCATCATCCAGCTCTGCATTCCCTATCTGCCGAAATTTACACATTAATTAATACATCTTATTATACTTATTGACCCTACAGATATCTATAGTAAAATAACTAAAAGCACTAGTAACTGAGAAAATCCATACCAAAATTCCTTTGATGTTAATCAAGTGGTCTTTAAGTGCAATTTTGTTTTTCTCAACAACAAGGTTCGCAATCTGAGGGACATAATAGCCTAAGATATTCGATGAACAATATATTAAAAGAAATCAATAAAAAATAAAAACATGTGTAATTATTTGTGATCATGTAGATATATAGTACATTAGTACAACTTTAGTTAGTTACGTACCTCCGTAACTTTCCCCAGCAATGTAGAAGTCGTGAGATTTATATTGTGGGAACCTTTGGAACCAGCTCACCAAAAAAGTTGTAGGAATCGGAAGCTAATTTAATAACACAAAGGAATATATATGTTATGTCAGTAAATAATGAATGAAAGTGTTAAGTATGATGTGAGTACAAAGAGTAAATAGGATAATGGTAATTACCTGTCATGTTGTCACCAAGGTGACTGAGATCACTAGATGTGTTTGTATATGAGAATCCAACGCCAACGGGAGATTCCAAAAACAGTAAATTGGCCGCTGCAGTCAAATAATTATCATGCAAAGGACAAATAAACAAGTCATTATAGATCGAAATAGGGATTAAATATATTATATAATTGTGTTGTGACTTGTGATCAGTACCTTTGTTCCATGTATGGTTGTTGAACTTGAGCTCTGGCTTCGTCCCTTTCCGAGGAAAGAAAGGTCCCAGCTCTAGTGATTGCCCAAAGCCTATTGATGAGCATCCAGGACCTGAATAAAAACATATATATATATATATATATATAATTCTCAATATGATCAATGGTAACTATAATGTTTCATTTATTTATTTTCTATTAAATCATCTTAATTTAAATAAAGTGAATTACTGAATGTTTAATCATGGTATGGTTGAGAAAGAATTTCATTTCTTGTATGATTCGTGAAACATTAACTGCAAAGGGTACACTAATTGGTTTAAATATTTGTATCAATTAGTGTATAATGGTGTTTATTAACTAAAAAAATAAAATAAAATAAAATGAAATTTGTGGAAATAACCACTTGTTTAATTATTTAATTACCTCCGTTGAGCCAAAGGACGAGAGGTTTGTTTTGTGGTTTGTTGATGGCTTCAAAAAACCAATAAAAGAGGGCTCTGCCATTAGGTTGGTTAACAGTGACATAGCCGGCATAATGATTGAAACTGACAGATGGCTGTCCGGGCAACCCGCTGACATGGTCCGCCACCTGCTGCGTCGGTATGGGAAATGGTGAACTACATTCCCACATACCCATTACCACCATCACCACTGCTAATAAACCTCCAACCAAATTCATCTTAATAATTTTATTTTACTTAATCACGAATGTTATGTTATGTATATATAACTAATCGTATCGCCATATATAAGGAAATGCTAGGTTACAATGAATTATTACTATGTATCTCTCTCTCTCTCTCAGATCAAATGCTTGGCAATATTCCTTTTTTGACTTCATTATTCAATTTATGCCCTTATAATCATGCAATCAACTCATTATTATTGACCAAAATTTTGGCTATTTGTACACTTATTATGAGTCATGCTTACTTTAAACTGCTAATTCTTGCAATGACAAAAAATTAAATCATTAATATTGACTAAAGTTTTGATTATTTGTAAACACTTATGACTTATGAGTCATGCGCACTTTGAACTGCTATTCTTTGCAATGAAGAAAATTGGTGCTGAATTTGGTACATAACAGACGTAATTTTTGACTGCAAGTATGTTTGCCAGTTTATTAAGAATTTGTACTTGTAGTCGAAATTCTATATTAATTAGTAATTGTTTATATATTTTATTTATTTATTTGAGTTGGAAACGAATTGCAGCATAAAAAACCATTCGTTTCCGTGCTCTAGAGGTTGTCGCCTCTTGCAGAACAGCACACGTTCTTGTCATTGTCGAGCAGCTCCAGTTTGTACGGCACAAAAGTGATAATCTATCTATCTATAACTCTATTAAAAGAAGAGTAGTTTCTTGAAACTTTTGAATTGTCAAGAATGCTTTTACTAATGATAAGTTTTAAGGTTATTATTGTAATTTTTTGTATTAAAGTTAGAAAGTTACAACAAACACTATTTGTTAATCTGAATATCCTCTTGTTCGATCTCAACAAAGGTGGTTTCTTTATCTGAGAGGGATATATTGTTAAGTTTTTGGGCGAGATAATCATACTTGCCCACCTCACCTGGTTCCCCCATTGATGGCGAGAAAATAAGAAAACCCTAGATCCGAAATAATTTAAATACCGAACTAAAGAAATGGCAATTAGGGGAAGAAAGTTGCAGAGGAGTAACACAGAATCTCAAACTACAAAATCTGGGAATGATTGAATGATGATGAAATGGATTGAAGCTCTCAACGAGAGAATCGGCCGCTCTCAACGAGAGAATTCCATAAATTAGTTTCTAAACTTAAGGAGTGATTTAGTTAAAAACCATTTTACAGTAAATTTATTGAGCCATCGGGTGACTCCCTTATGGAGTCATCCATAACTTTATGTATTGACACGTGTTCAATGTGTATTTATTGCAGGACACGTGTCAATACACCATTTGTGGATAACAATGGATGGTTCTATAAGCCGAGTCATCCGATGGCTCCATAGCAAAACTGTTAGTTTTTAAACCTCCATTTCATAATTTACTTTAATTCATTAATTTTTTTATATTTAATTATATCTTTAAGTTTTTACACATACCAAAATTTGATCTATGCAAATTTATGGATTTTAAATAAATAACTTATTCGACAAACGACATTGGGTTACCATTTGGTTATTTTAAATGTAGTTGTAAATGTAAGAGAAAAAATTATTTTAAGATTTTTTTAAATAAAATATATTTTATTTTATAAATGTAAAATATATAATGCACCAAGGTAAGTATCATCTATAATTTCTAAATATCATATACTATAGAGATTTTTCGTTATAGTATTAAAAAAATAAATATGAACAGTTTAGTTAGCATGCATATATATATAGGGATTGGTTCCAATGCATCCACTTATTTAAAGTGAGGACGTGAGACTCATTTTTAGCCACAAGATTTGGTACAGATCATGTGTGGCCAAGATTACTCGTTTCTTTTTATTATTTTAATTATGTAAATATTACTTTGACCCGTTGACTCTGGCGTTGACCGTTGACTTCCGGCGTTGACTTCCGTCGAAATCCGTTGACTTCTGGCGTTGACCGTTGACTTCTGGCGTTGACGCCGGCGTTGACCGTTGACAACTAACCATCCAACTAGGTTATTTCTCTGTAGTTGCTAGGTTTTTTTTTTTTTTTTAAACAAACAACGCCCCGGAAGGACGGGGGATTGGGCTGGATCCCCAACCTGTGCATAGATCAGGGCCCCAAAAACGGGAGCCCAAAATGTCAACGAACCAGATACAAAGGTCTACATAGTCTGACAATCAAAACCAAAAACAAAAGAAAAACAAGAAAGAAAAACCGAAAAACGAAAAAGAAACAAAAAACTACAATATAAAGTCGATCTTCGGGCTAAAATGCGAAGGCGGAGTGGAGCAGTGTAGGTCTGATACGTGTGCGTGTCTGGTATGGTAGCACCAAGGCTAGCAAGGTAATCAGCAGGTCTGTTCCCCTCACGAAAGATGTGTGTGATCCTGTAATGGACAGACCGAAGTAGATCTCTAATGCGCATAAGCGGGTGCTGAATCTGCCACGAGCCCTGATGACCCGAGGACAGGAGGGTGACGACAGCCGCAGCGTCCAGCTCAATCCAAATATGACTAGAGAGGTCGGCAACAATCTGAAGGCCAATCTGTAATGCCTGAATCTCTGCATCATAGCTCGAGTAGGCCTTAAGGGACGAGTGGAAGGCGGTGATAAGAGTTCCACTGTGGTCCCGGATCAAGCCTCCTCCTCCGGCAGTACCGCTATGGCGATCGAAAGATCCATCGGTGTTCAGCTTGACCCAAGGAGAATTGGGTCGAAGCCAAGCAACAGCTTTGGGCCGAGGGGACCGAACAGGCGGAGGGGGAGCCACCCTGTATTGGTGCGGTGGCGTGCACCCTATCCAGTCACGTGCAGAAAGCCTGCCCAACGCTGTGAGGAGCGAAATGTGTCTCTCCACCTGCAAAACAATGTGAGAAAGCAAGAAAGTAATATCCCTATACTTCGCACTATTCCTTTCCGTCCAGGTCAACCAAAGGATCAGACAAGGAATGAGGAAGCTCACGTGTCTAAAGTGTGTGCTCTGTGAGAAAAAACTCAGGAGCTCAAAAAAACTGTCTGTGGAGGGTAGGGATATATGAGTCGAAGTAGCAAAATGCTCCCACACTCTCCTCAAAATCTCACTTTCTAAAAAAAGGTGGGTGAAGGTCTCGGTCTCATGACGTCCGGTCTCAGAACAACACACACATCGAGAGGGGAAGGAGATCCCCCTCGCATGTAACACAGTGTCCACGGGTATCCGGCGCAAGAGGAGGCGCCAAAGGAAAACAGATATGGTAGGGGTGAAAAGGTCGCTCCAGATGGCTCCGAAGAGAAGATTCGGCCGATCTCTCAGCCTAATCTGCTCCCAAGCCGAGGTAGTAGAAAACACACCCGATGATGTAAGTCTCTACCTCATACCATCTGAACCGTCCCCCGAGATGGGTATCTACTGGATCCTATCTAATAACTGCTCACTAAAACCCGCCCCGGAGCCCAACTCTCTATCAAGCTTCCCCCTATCCCACGACCCGTCCGTCCAAAGGTCGCGCACAAGCAGGTAGGGGGAATGCGACACCTGCCTATCTCTAGACAACGGCCTATCACCTAACCACCACTCATCCCAGAAACTAACTTCGCCAACCCCCAACACCCAAAAAATGTGATCCTGGGCGCGCCTACCAACCCTAGTAAGACGCCGCCATTGTCTGCTAGGTTAGTTGTCTGTAGTTGCTAGGTTAGTTGTCTTTTGTTGCTAGGTTATTTCTTTCTTGCTGCTAAGTTAGCTGTGTTTTGTTGCTAGGTTAGTTATCTTCGGGGGATTGGGCTGGATCCCCAATCTGTGCATAGATCAGGGCCCCAAAAACGGGAGCCCAAAATGTCAACGAACCAGATACAGAGGTCTACATAGTCTGAAAATCAAAAATAAAAACAAGAAAAACAAAAAAAAAGAAAAAAACCGAAAAATGAAAAAGAAACAAAAAAACTACATAATAAAGTCGATCATCGGGCTAACAGATGCCCGAGATAAGTCTATACTAATGAAAATAGAGATCCTATACTAGTGAAAGCGGAACGCTGGGTATCCAAGCTGGTCCATCCATACAAGAGTGCGAAGGCGGAGTGGAGCAGTGTCGGTCTGGAATGTATGTGTGCCTGGTATGGTGGCGCCAAGGCTGGCCAGGTAATCAGCCGGTCTGTTCCCCTCACGAAAATGTGCGAGATCCTGTGATGGACTGACTGAAGTAGATCTCTAATGCGCAGAAGCGGGTGCTGAATCTGCCACGAGCCCTGATGGCCCGAAGTCAGGAGGGTGGCGACAGCCGCAGCATCCAGCTCGATCCATATATGACTAGAGATGTGGGCAGCTATCTGAAGGCCAATCTGTAGTGCCTGAATCTCTGCGTCGTAGCTCGAGGAGGCCTGAATGGACGCGTGAAAGGCGGTGATGAGGGCGTCGCTATGGTCCCGAATCAAGCCTCCTCCTCCGGCAACTCCAGTGTGGCGATCGAAGGAGCCATCAGTGTTCAGCTTGACCCAAGGAGAGTCAGGTCGAAGCCAAACAACAGCTCTGGCCCGAGGAGTCCGAACAGGCGGTGGTGGGGCCACCATGTAGCGCTGTGGTGGCGTGCAGCCTGTCCAGTCTCGGGCCGTGAGCCTGCCCAATGAGATGAGGAGTGAAATGTGTCTCTCAACCTGCAAAACAATGTGAGAAAACATAAAAGTAGTATCCCTATGCTTCGCACTATTCCTTTCTGTCCAGGTGAACCAAAGGATCAGACAAGGAATGAGGAAGCCCACGTGTCTAAGGTGTGTGCTCTGTGAGAAAAAACTCAGGAGCTCAAAAAAACTGTATGTGGTGGGTAGGGATATATGGGTCCAAGTGGCAAAATGCTCCCACACTCTCCTCACAATCTCACTCTCTAGAAAAAGGTGGGTAAAGGTCTCAGTCTCATGGCGTCCAGTCTCAGAACAACACACACACCGAGAGGGGAAGGAGATCCCCCTCGCGTGTAGCACAGTATCGACGGGTATCCGGCGCAAGAGAAGGCGCCAAAGGAATACCGAAATAGTAGGCGTAAAAAGGTCACTCCAGATAGCCCCGAAAAGGAGATTAGGCCGATCCCTCAGCCTTATCTGCTCCCAAGCCGAGGTAGTAGAAAACACACCTGATGATGTAAGTCTCCACCTCATGCTATCTGAACCGTCCCCCGAGATAGGGATCTGCTGGATCTGATCTAATAACTGCTCGCTAAAACCCGCACCA